GGGGGAAAGGGCGGGCCTGGTGTGGGGGGGGAGTGCACCTGGGTGGGGTCGTGTGAAATGGGGAGCTTATCTTGCCACCAGACTCTTGGACAGACAACCAGATAGCAACCTACGCTCTGTCCTTGTGTCAGCCTAAAATACCAAGCTAGGTGCATCAAGTCATCAATGGCCAGGAGGCACTTCACAGGCCCTCTCTTGGTCCTGCACCCTACAGCCACCCATCTCCTCCTGCTCTCCCACCTTTACCCTGCACCTCCATCCTGGGGGCTCCACTCCCCCACTGTTGAGAAAGCAAGCAAGTGGGAAAAGATATTTGGGGGCTGGGGGCTGAAAACATAGCTCAGTGGTAGAGCACCAGCCTGGCATGCTTTGGCCCTGGATTCAATCCCCAGCACCAGCAAGCAAGTGGGAAAAGATATTTGGGGGCTGGGGGCTGAAAACATAGCCCAGTGGTAGAGCACCAGCCTGGCATGCTTTGGCCCTGGATTCAATCCGCAGCACCAAAGGGAAAGCGTGTGTGTGTGTGTGTGTGTGTGTGTGTGTGTGTGTGCGCGCGTGTGCGCGCGCACGTGTGCGCGCGCGCGCGTGTGTAGTGGTAGTGATGGTGATAGTAGAATACTTGCCTAGCATGTTTGAAGCCCTAGGTTATCTAGCCCCAGCACTACATAAAAAGGGTGTGGTAGCACACATCTATAATCCCAGCACTTGGGAGGTAAGGGCAGAAGAATCAGAAAGTCAAGTTCATCCTCAACTATACAGTGAGTTTGAGATCAGCCTGAGATCCATAGCACTCTGTCATAAAAGAAAAAAAGTTATTCAGGAGGTGGGTGTTGTGACCTGTCCATACAGAGGGTCCATCCCCCACACAGCTACCCTCTCTCTAGAAAATCCCCTGTGTCTGCTGTATATGAGGGGCTCCTAGCTCAGCTCTATCCTTGAGTTTCCTCCTCTGTCAAACAGGGATTCAGCTCAGGTAGCTTCCATGGACTGTAGCAGGCCTCATCTAGACCATGTCAATATGCCCCCTGCATGTGCACATGAATGAGAATAAAAGTGTGTGCTTTGGGTGTCTGTGTGCATTTGTACCTGTGTGTTTGTGTATTTATAACATCTGTGGAGGAATGTCCACCTGTGTGGAATGAAGAGGAGAGGACTCCAGTTAGACACCTATCCTGGGCAAAGGTATGTTGGCAGTACTGTGCAGTATATCCTGAGCCAAGAGGCTATTGACTGTTTCCTGCTGTGGGGCTGAAGTGCAGAATCAGGGCCAAGGGAAGGGACATTGGAGACTTGGCTCAGCTCTGTAGATACCAGGGGAGATCTTCCACAAACCTCCTTCCTGTGAAAGGGGGTGCCTGAGAAGGAGGCCATGTGCAGCCCAGCCCATTCCTGGAACATATGAGCTAGCAGGGGATAGCAGGGTGTGTGGGCGTGCAGAGGGCACTGTGACCAGGACAAGCACACCGGGTCTCCTCTTGGCTTCTTTGGATCTACAGTCCACAGTTAAATCAGAGGAGGCAATCTGTGTGTGTGTGTGTGTGTGTGTGTGTGTGTGAGAGAGAGAGAGAGAGAGAGAGAGAGAGAGAGAGAGAGAGAACATGGCCTGGGTGGCAGATTTTGAGCTCACATTTGCTTCTTCATCTCTGGGTGTCTGCAGGAGCCCTCAAGGCAGCTGCTTGGTCTGAAAAATGCTGGAGGCTGGGTGTGGCCCCAGGCCCAGGAACCTGTTCTTCCTGTTTCCTGCCTCAGTCCCAGCAGCTGGTCCAGGCCTGAGCATTTATGAGTGAAGAACTGGAGCAGGCGTTGAGCATCCTCACCGCACCAAGAGCAGGAGCTGATCGGGTCCAGGTGTGTGGGGCAGGTCCACTGGCTGGGAGGCTGGGCATTTTCTGTGTGTGTGCATTGAATTCTGCTTACATCAATGGGATCCAAGGCAGGGACCCTGCTCTGCTCCTTTATTCCAGGCTCTGTTGAATTCAGGTTCTGCAGCCAGACAGCCCTCAGTGTCAAGCCTATTTTTTCCAACTCCTTCCAGTATAACCAAAACAAATTGCTTAACCTATATGTAGGTATTTACCAGGGGCTGAACACTGCCTTGTGGAAGCTGCTTAAACCTAATGAGATCCCTAGTGAACAGGAAGGGTAGCAGAGAAGACTGCAGCATGTGGAGCTGGTTAAACTGAGCTAGACGTGGGCCAGGTAAAGTATGGGGTTGCCTCAGCCTGCTGACTAATCCCAGACTGCTTCCCTGGCTATAGCATAGAAGGGCAGGGTCTTCTGGGTCCTGTCCAAGTTGAACAAAAGAAGTAGTCTAAGGATCCCTCTGGGGCAGGAGAAGGACTTGGGTGGCTTGAGCCACATGACTTGTGGGCTCAGCTCTTCTGGGTTCCTACAGCCTCTAGTGCATCATTTACTCATTCATTCATCCATTCATCCTTTCTTTCTTGCAATAACTGCTTGCAGGTTGGGCCTCTTGCTGGGCTATAGGTACAGGGAAAATCGTCACAGGGATGTAGCCTTCAAAGAAATGTATTGGGGTTGGAGTAGAAAGACAAATTAGCATAAGGCTGGAGACATGGCCTGAGGGATTAGTGGAATGAGCAAGTCTCAGCGATAAGGGACATTGAGAAATAGCCTGGAGAAATGGGTGGGATGAGTCTTAAGGGATTGTTCTGGAATGGGTTTTGGAACAGTCAGTGCACAGTGAACGAAGGTGAGGAGGCCTGGAAGGGTTCTCTAGGGCTCACTTCTCCATTAAACTGGGAGTTCCTGGGACACTGCCAGCCAGAGCTGGGCACAGCAGAGCCAGCCAATGTGAGGGGGCCGGTGACCAAGTCAGATGGAGCAGCATCCATGGAGCTGAGGTGAGATCTCAAGGGTGGTAGGGATCAGGACTTGGTGCTAAGGGAGAGGGCTGGGGACTGGCAAATGGGCTTTATATGTTAGTGAGCTGGTCCAGGGAAGGAAGGAGAGGTGGGCAGGGACAGTCTGGACCAGGGCCATTGTAATAGAACTCTCAGCTGGCCTGGAGGACAGGGTGCCTTAAAACAGGTGGAAAGGGAAGCTTGCTCCCTGGTTCTGGGGACAAGGAAGTCTCCACCCTGCCTTAAGTGTCAGTGATTCCACCAGCAGGGAACAGCGGTGAATTAGTGATGTTGACTAGAGAGAAGGCAAGGAGAGGACCTGACACTGCCTCTGAGTGGAGACCAGGGGTGGGCAGGAATAGAGCAGGCCTAAAGGTGACAGCATTGTTAGGTTAGAAGCACTCTGTCTTCAGCAGGGCACAGCTCCTCCTGAGGGGAGGCTGGGAACTACCGTCTCCAAGGTGGGGGATTTGACACCTGAGAGGGAGGAGGGCTTCTTATCTGGGACCTTCAGTCCAGATAATCTGCTCCCTGCCTGCCACTAAGAGTTATATTGTTATTGTCATTTTGTTTTGCTTTGCCAATGTAGATTTATTATGGAAAAATGAGAAAAGAATTCCCTAAAGTCCCTCCAAGAGAGGAAGACTACGGTTTTTAAAACATTGTTGTTATTAAAATTACTATTTCTTGGAGCTGGAGAGATAGATGGTTTAATAGTTTTCTTGCAGAGGATCCAGGTTTGATCCCCACTTGGCGGTTCACAACCATTTGTAACTCCAGTTCCAGGGAACTGTATGCCTTATTTAGGTTGCATGACAGTACACGTGTATTCAGGCAAAAACTCATACTTGTACATTGTTAAATTATTATTTCTGGGCTGGAGAAAGACTCGGTAGCTAAGAGCTATTGCTGCTGTTGCAGAGGACCCAGCACCCACAAGGTGGCTCACAGCCACCTCTAACTCCAGTTCCAGGGATTCTGACCCACCTTCTGATCTCTTGCAGGTATTAGGCACACACATGTTACATGTACATATATGCAGGCAAAAAAAAAAAACCCATATACATAAAATAAATAAGTTTTTAATTTTGAACTTGTTCAATAAGATAAGATTTAACCACACAGTCTGGTTCTCTGTAGCCATACAACGTTATTATTTCAGGAAAATGAAAGCGAAGGAAGCAAATTATCCACTGCTTGCCACATGTATTGTGTCAAGTCTTGCCTTAGGCCCCTTTGGACAAAACTTTTCTACTCTAGCCCAGGCAGAGTTATAGTTTTCTTTTCATCCCCATACTTCATATTTGTGATATCAGTTGTTTGTTTATTTTGTGTGTCTGTGAATGTCTGCAGTGCACATGTGCACAGCACACACAGGAAGGTCAGAGGACCACTTGGGAGTCTCTCCTCCTACTGTGTGGGGTCCTTGTATTGACCTCAGTCTTGGCAGCAAGAACCTTTACCCTGTGAGTCATCTCATCAGCTCCCCCTCCCCAACTATTTGTTTCGAGACAATCTTTCTATGTAGCCCAAGCTGGCTTCAAACCCCTGTTACTCATGCCTCAGCCTCCCCAAGTGCTGGAATGACAGATGTGTGGCCTCCTCATGCTAATCTGAAAGAGCTCTTACTGGTCACAGGATGGTTGGAGAGAACAGAAAAGGTGGCCACCAGCCCTCCAGGCATTCATTGTCCCCTGGCTGGTCAGGCCCTGTGAATAACATAGGGACAAAGTAGAAGACACAAAGAGGGTAGAAAGGCATGGGTGCAAAAGGTACTCTCCTCTTCCCCATTCCAGAAGCAACGCCAGACTTCCTGGACTTATCAGGAAGGTCACTGCTCCATCCAGTTGTCTCCTCCAGGTGGAGAACAGGATTGCTGTACACAGACGTAGAAAGTACCAGAATATGGTAGTAACACCTTTAGAAAAAGTTGAGGCTGGGTGGTGGTAGTTCATGTCTTTAATTCTAGTACTTAATAGGGGTAGGCAGAGGCAGGCAGATCATCCTGGGTTCAAAGCCAGCCTAACTCTAACCCTAACCCTAAGCAGGACAGCCAGGATCACATGGAGAAACCCTGTTTTGAAAATCTGAAGAAAAAACGTTGAACAAGGGGCTGGAGAGATGTCTCAGTGGTTAGGAGCTCACTTGTTGCTCTTGTATAAGACTGGGGTTCTGTTCCCAGCACCCAAAAAGCAACTCCATAGCTCCAGTTCCAGTGACTCTTCTGACCTCTGCAGACACCAAGCACACACTTGAGGCACAGATATACACACATACACACACCCAAAAAATTTAAAACCTGAAAAAGAAAGTTGAGCAAGAAACTTTCATGTGGAAGAGGGAGACCCTTGCAAATTCTCCAGCCCCCAGAGAATAGAGGATGAGTTTAAAAGCTAGGAGTCTGTGAGGACTGCTGGATGCCCAGGCCGGAGAAGCCTCAGTGGGCAGTGGTACTGGGGTGCGGAAGAGGGCCATTCTTGAGGTCCCTTCCTATAATCTGAAATCATACCCCTCTGTATAGCCAAATGTTCTTTGGATCACCAGCTCCTGAATACTGACACAGAGACATTTTATTAACTATGAACACTTGGCCTTAGCTTAGGCTTGTTCCCAACTAGCTCTTCAAACTAAAATTAAGCCATTTATATTAACCTAAGTTCTGCCACGTGGTTCATTGCCTCTCCTCCATACCGTATGTCCACTTCCTCCATGTCTAGCTGGCAAATCCCCAGCCTCTCAGATTCTTCCCATGAGTTCCTCTCTCTCCTGGGAAGTCCCACCTATCCTCTCTTGCCTAGCTATTGGCCACTCAGCTCTTTGTTAAACCAATCAAAAGGTGCCTTAGGCAGGTGAGGTAAAACAGAGACATCTTTACACAGTGTCATCAAATACCCAGCAACACCTCTGGAACCTCCAGATCTCAGTTCCAAGCCTCTGAGTCCTCGACCTTGAACTCTGTGATCCAGGAGTTTAGAGCAAGGGTCAGTCAGCAGGTTCTAGAGTGACTATTTTAGACTTTAAAGACCATGTGGCCTTGATGACAACTGCTCAACCCAACAGATGGGTGTGGCTGTGTTCCCATAGTGCTTCACTTTCAAAAGCAAGCTGATGAGAGGGAGTCAGCCCTCAGACTATCACTTGCTCACCCTGTTGTGAGGTTAGAATTATGTGATGCTGGTTTTCATGAATCTCACAAGTTTCTGAGATTTTAGGAGATTCTGGGTCCAGGAGAGGTGCAGATCACATGACAATGAAAGTTTTGACTTGGGTAAACAAATGGGTTTTTCGGTTTTTGGTTTTTTTTTGTAGATGATCTTTCTGTTGTTATTTTGTTTGTTTGTTTTGAGACAGGGTCTTACTATGTAGCCCAAGCTGACCTCTGGCTGACTACACAACCCAAGCAGGTCTTGAACTCACAGTTCTCCTGCCTCTGCCTCCCAAGTGTTAGGATTACAGGAGTGAGCCTCCACATCTGGCTTAGGCAAATCTTTAGTATGTGTGTTACTGGGGTATGAACCCAGGGCCTTCTGCATGCTAAGCAAGTGTTCTGTCACCAAGCTGTATCTCTTGCCCTAGGCAAATCTTAACAAGGGCGCAGGGCCCCTATGAGCACCAGTCCTGATGGCTTCCTCTCCATACCTCCCTTTCCCACAGGGCAATGGCAGCAGACCTGGACCCCTGGAATAGCACCATTAATGGTACCTGGGAGGGGGATGAACTGGGCTACAAGTGCCGCTTCAACGAGGACTTCAAGTACGTGTTGCTGCCCGTGTCATATGGCGTGGTGTGTGTGCTCGGGTTGTGCCTGAACGTCGTGGCTCTCTACATCTTCCTGTGCCGCCTCAAGACCTGGAATGCCTCCACCACGTACATGTTTCACCTGGCGGTTTCTGACTCTCTCTACGCAGCCTCCCTGCCACTGCTGGTTTATTACTATGCCCGGGGTGACCACTGGCCATTCAGCACCGTGCTCTGCAAACTGGTGCGATTCCTTTTCTACACCAACCTCTACTGCAGCATCCTCTTCCTCACCTGCATCAGCGTGCACCGGTGCCTGGGAGTCTTGCGTCCTCTGCACTCCCTGCGCTGGGGCCGGGCCCGCTATGCGCGCTGAGTGGCTGCCGTGGTGTGGGTCCTGGTGCTGGCCTGCCAGGCACCTGTGCTCTACTTCGTCACCACCAGTGTGCGGGGGACCCGCATCACCTGTCACGACACCTCGGCCCGAGAGCTCTTCAGTCATTTTGTGGCCTACAGCTCCGTCATGTTGAGTCTGCTCTTTGCTGTGCCCTTTTCAGTCATCCTGGTCTGTTACGTGCTCATGGCTCGGCGGCTGCTCAAACCTGCTTATGGGACCACAGGAGGCCTGCCTCGGGCCAAGCGCAAGTCTGTGCGAACCATTGCCCTGGTGCTGGCCGTTTTTACCCTCTGCTTCCTGCCTTTCCATGTCACCCGCACCCTCTACTACTCCTTTCGATCACTTGACCTCAGTTGCCACACCCTCAATGCCATCAACATGGCATACAAGATCACCCGGCCACTGGCCAGCGCCAACAGTTGTCTTTACCCAGTGCTCTACTTCCTGGCGGGGCAGAGACTGGTCCGTTTTGCCCGAGATGCCAAGCCACCCACAGAGCCCAGCCCCAGCCCCCAGGCTCGTCGCAGGCTGGGCCTGCACAGGTCTCACAGAACTGACACAGTGAGGAAAGACGTGTCGATCAGCAGTGATGACTCAAAACGGACAGAGTCCACACCAGCTGGGAGCGAGACTAAGGACATTCGACTATAGGTCAGAGCCCCTCAGGCATGTGCTAGTTCATGTGGGGGAAGCTGTAGGGGACCAAGGCCTGTTCAAATGGGCCAATGTCCTCTGATACGGATCATCAGCAATTCTCTCCCCGAGATCCCAAAGTCCCCAGTCATTTGTAAGTGAGCTGGAAAATCCTATTTTAGGAAAGGCAGTAACACCTGACCCCCATGCAGACAGCTGCTGTTTCTGCCAAGGTTGGGGTTCAGGCAGGCTGAGGTTCAGCCTCCTAAGTCCAAGGGAGAAGCAAGTCCAGAGAAGAGCAGCAGAGTCTGGACCAGGAGTGGGATCACAAGGTGACTGATTAGAGGACTAAGTCCTGTGGGTAAGCAGGGCTGAGTTCCCATGGTGGCCTGGGATGGAACTGGGCACTACAGTGGACTGGGCTCAGAGGAAGACCCTCAGGCCAAAAGACAAACATCTGAGAACTGATGTTGGATCCATCTGGCTGGCTCAGGCTCCCCTGGGCTGGAAGCCAGGTGGAAACCATAATTTATATCAAAGGCTGTGCTGCTGCATGGTCAGAGGACAGGGCCTGATCTACACAAAGGCCTGTTATCTCTGCCACTTGCCTTCTGACCACTGCCTCCCGGGAGTCTCGTATCAGGGACCCCTCTTCAGACCCCCAGGTCAACCCCGCTTTTAAGCCACTTGTCTTCTATAGTATACTATGCCAAGCATGGAGAAGAGTCAAGTAGGGTTCTAGTTCTTGGGGTTCACACAACTTCACATGTGTTGGTAAATGTCAACCCTTTTAACTGACTGGGAGGGGGGCCCTTTATAACACTGCCACTTGTTGTGGGACAAGTAACCCCACCACCGAACAAATTTCAGTTTCAAATTACCAACACAATGACGGCCTCTTTACAAAATTCCTGAAAATTAACTACTGTTTCTTTTTTTGTGGGGAGTGGGGAGGCGGCGTTGCTGGTCAGACAGGGTCTCAGGTAATAAAATGTGGCCATGTAGTTGAACCTCAACTCCTTACCCTCTTGTCTCCATCTCTAAAGTGCTGGGATTACAGGCAGGTGCCACACTTGTCCAACAACTGGTGCAGGATACCACACTGTGTAGCTGGGACTGTGTGACCCCTGGTCAGGGAGGGTTCCATAGAATGCAAGAAAGGGGATGGGGCCAGCTCAGAGCTTGAAGTGGGAATAGGCACATGTGACAGCCCTCACTTGACAAGGAGATCTCTCTAAGGACCGTCTCCCCATCCCACCTTGTCTGCCTCCTACAACTCTACTCTCGCCTCCTTGCCGTTAAAGGTCGGGAGTTGCTCTCTGTGCATTCTGTTCTTGTGAGGTGTTGCTTGGAATGACCCGGAATTCCTGGGCTCCAAGGATCCACCTCAGCCCTCTAAGTAGCTGGTTTATACGCAGTCTTTCCATATAGCTTACCTCCAGAGCGCCCTCAAGTGACAAGGAGCCATCACAGGCCAGGACTCATAGTCTGTGTTCATTCTACAGTTAGTGTACCTGGAGTCCCTCTGGCTTCAATAACTCCCACTTATGGACTGTCCTGGGTCTTTCTTGAAGGCCTGAACCTGTGTTTTTAACACTGCTCAGGCAGACCCTGCTTACAGGGAAGCTGAGAGCTGTGACGAGACCTGGAGGCACAGATGCCCATCATGACTTGGAGGCCTGCAGTCTTCACCTGTGGGTGGACATAGAGCTGTTTTCACTATGGACAAGAGTCCCCCCTAGTCTCCATTCTCCCCCCCCCATCGCTGCTCTGGAGACCAGAGAACTCAGCACCCATGTGGCTAGGGACCACACACTCTTGTTCCCAGGAAGCTTTCTTTGATTTTGGAGGACACAGGGTCTAGGGGACCTAGTTCTGTGGCAGCCACTGGTAGTGGTGCTTCCTAGGGGAACCAGGGATAAGCCTGTGGTCCCACGTCAAGGAGCCAATCAAACTGCCTGTGCCCTTGGCACAGACATGTAGCCGCGCAGCCCAGCATCCAGGCCGCTTGCCTGGCGGGTAAGATTCCTGACCCTTCTGCCTTGCTATTTTCAGCCCAAGTAAGACCAAGATTTTCCACCAGCCCCAGACCATTGTCCAACAATGACGAGAGGTGACCTGCCTGTCCTCAAAATATCTCTGTTTGCCCTCTGGGACTCCTTGCCCACTCCCCACCCCGACAACACGTCCTAGAGCTGCTCCTGAAGGCCACTGTGAAAGGGCACAGGAGCCAACCAGCCACTAGACAAGAGCCCAAGGGTTGTCCAGCCCAGCTGCAGACTCAAGGCCAGAGGGAGGAGGGGCCATGTCGAAGGTCAGTGTGGTTCCTGGGCATCAGCCAGGGTAGGGGCTGTTCCTGTTGCTGTGCCACTCCTTCAGTATAGGTCAGTGACGTCATGAATGTCCTGCACCCCTGCACTGCCCAGCTCTACCCTCCACCCCCCAGAGCTGGAGAATTGTGACCAGGGACTTAACACAGGGGAACCAGAAGGGCAAACTGGACAAAAAAGGGTAAAAGCATACTGGTCTCTATAGCTGCTGTTCTCAGTTAAGAACATGTGACCAGGCATGGCCCCTCAGACCCAAAGGTCTCTTTCCTGGATCAAGGGGAGGATCCTTAGGTCCCTTGTCCTCCAAGATCAGAAAAGATGCTAGACAACATGTCCATCATGCCTAGTTGCTCCTTTCTTGGTATGTGTCAGGTCACCATGCCAGCACGATGCTATCATTGTGGCAGATTTGGGCTGGTCTGTTTAGAATGGATTGTAGGGTCTGGAGCTCATGTACTGGCCTGCATCTCAGGCACCAAACAGTACTCACGGAGGAGGAATCAGGAGGGGGTGGTATGGTCCAGGAAGGCTGCAGGTAACAAGGCCAAGGGTGGCCAAGTCAAGAAAGAGTTCAGAACCCCAGAGGTCCCAGTGATCCTCTAGTACCCCACACTGCCACAGGGCAGGAGTGTCTGCCAGCGTTCTTTCCCCTGACTTGGGCCCAGTCACTGTGGTGGGAGGGGCAACACACACATTTGGTTTGAAGGTCACACCTACTCTTCCAACATAGTCCCATTGCTCCATCTCACAGCATCTCACTTTGTCATCTCAGTGAGATACAACCTTCCATATAGACTCTCACCTGGGCTTACACACACACACACACACACACACACACACACACACACACACACACACACCACTTAGTCCAGCGTCTGCCACACAGAAAATGTTCCACACACACACTGCCAGGGACATGAGCCCTTGGACCTAGACCTCCCAGAGCCTGGTGGGTAAGTGCCTGGGGCCCTCTTGCTCAGACCCTGAGACTAACATTCTTACCCCCACAGTCTGTGGAAGAAAGGATGAAGGTCTATCCTAGCGAAACTGTACCCTCAATTCCACCCTGCTGGGTATTGGGTAGCTTCTAGGTGCACAGGCCTATGGGTGCTTCCAGACCTTTGTCTTAAAATGGCAACAGAGAGGGGAAGAACAGATGGTGAGGCAGGGGAAGGAGGAGAGCACTTCTCTCCACCCAGAGTAAGCCTGACTATCTGTCCCTGGCTGCTTGTGCCCACCATGGCAGTCTGTGGCCACACCCCCACTCAAGCGAGTGTTCTGAGATCCAGAATGGAAGAACTGTCACAGAAGGTAACAAATGGTCAGCTTTTGCTGTGTGACCTGAGGGTTCCTACTTGAGCACTCTGGGCAAGTCTGAAGGTATTGCTTCTGGCTTCTGGTTCTTTTATCAAGGCATCAGGAGCCCAGACCTTCAAGGTACAACTGCTGTTCTCTAAGGTTTGCCAAGCCCATCAAAAGGTGAAGGGACTCCACTGTACCACATGGTGCCACACTGTTCCGCATGGTAAACTGCTCTTGTGGGTGAGGAGGGCAGCCAGGTTTTTCCTAGGGACACAGGAAAGAGCATGGAGCCCAAAGGTCAAGACCCATCTCCCTCTGCCCGTGTTGGCAAGACCTGCTTCTGTTCCCTGGGCCTCAGTTTCCCCATACTTGAGAGCTGGCTTTGTCTATCCTGTCTTTGTTCAGAAGGGGCTTTCTGAGTTTGCCCTGGTTTCTGCACCAACTCAGCTGGGTGTCCTGTTTCAGCTCTGTCCCAGCCAGGAACAATGAACCAGTCACTTGTTGGACCAAACCCTGTCCCCAGGGTCTCCACCCACTAATGTTGGACTATTGTCAGCAATGGAGTCAAAAAAGGACTTTCCACTCACAACACAATGATTCCCCCTAGACCATTGTCTAGCAGTGACGTGGGGGATCCGCCTGCCTCAAAATATCCCCTGTGCCCATCCTCAGGCCTTCCTACCCTGCTCCTCACCTCCCCACTGACATAATTTCCTGGGGCTGTTGACACTTGATGGCTACAAAACAGCACAAACAGCTTTCCTTGTTTGGTTTCAGAGGATGGACTGCAGACCCAGAGAGGGCTGTGCCCTGTCCAAGCTCACACAGGAGTCAGAACAGAGCCTACACATGCCCAAAGCCACACAGAAGTCAGGGTGAAGCCTAGCCATGAGCCAATAGCTCTCTGTTCCTGCTGCCTCAGCCACCCCCAGTAGCTCTAGATAAGATTCAAAGGCCTGGGGGAAGGGGAGATCATAGAAATCTAGGTGGCGGGGGGAGGGGTTCCTAGAAGTCTAGGTGGTGGGGGAGAGAGGTAACAGGGCTCAATCTCCGGTTCTTGTCTCTGGCAAAGGCCTGGATTTCCAGTTCTTACCAAATGTGGTTCTTAGGGACCGAATGTGCCCTCCCCAAATTCCTGTGCTGAAATTCTAAGTGTCTACCAGATGTGATGGCGCATACCAGTGTAATCCCAGCACTGGAGAGGTGAGGCAGGAGATCAGGAGCTCATGGCCATCCTTGGCAACTTAGAGAGTTCATTGCAGACCAGGTACATAAAACTCTGTCTCAAACAAATACCCAAGAAATTTTGGGGGAGGTAAGTCTTGGTAAGGTAACTAGGCCATGAGGATGGAGACCCCATGAATGGAATTAATGCCTATATTGGCCAGCTTTCAGTTGCTGTAACAAAATACTGAAAGTAGTAAACATAAAGAGAAAAAGGTTGGGGTCGAGGGAGACCTGGGTGGCTGGTTTGGGGTCTAGGGGTTATTATTTTGAGACTGTATCATATAGCCCAGGCTATGTGACATTGCTGTCTCAACTTCCTAAGTGTTGGGATTACAGGCAAACACCACATCACATTCCAGTAGGAAAGGTATATTCTGACTCAGAGTAAAGAGTTTCCAGTCCACAACTCATTTGTCCTGTGGCTTCAGGCAGCCTGAGAAGCCTAAGTTTGATCACTGGGAACAACATGGTGGAGAGAACCAACTTTGAACCACAGTACTGCGATCCACACGGCACCACAACACACACAAACAAATGTGAATTTTTTAAAGATTTATTTATTTATGATGTATATACAATGTTCTGAACACATGTATGCCTGCACGCCAGAAGAGAGCACCAGATCTCGTTACAGATGGTTGTGAAACAACATGCGGTTCCTGGGAATTGAACTCAGGACCTCTGTTAAGAGCAGATGCTCTTAACCTGTGAGCCATCTCTCCAGCTCACAAATGTGATTCTAAGAGTTGTTGAAAGGGAGCCCAGACAGCCAATGCTACAGAGGTCTCTCTAAACCCTGTCTTGGGGGAAAAAGCAGGCAGGGAGCCTCAGAAAGCTCTCTCATCTCTCTGTGCCATGTGAGGGTACCACCGGAAGTTGGTGTGTTGTAACTGGGAACAACCCAATCATGTGACCTCAAGTCACTAGCCTCCAGACCGATGAGATCAGTGTCCACTGTGGATAAGCCATTGAGCTTACAGCACTTGTTGCAGTAGCTTCAGAAAAGACCGTTTCTGGGGATGGAGAGCCAGCTCCGCAGTTAAAAACACTTGTTTCTCTGGCAGAGAACCCAAACTTAGTTCCCAGCATCTATGTGGTGGTTCACAGTGTCAGGGGATCTGATCCCTTCTTCTGACCTCCGTGGACACCAAACACAC